GTACCCGATAACCAAACAACATGTGAATTTGCATTGACTACTTAAATGAAATCGTCCTGGATGGTGATTTGATCTGACTTGAATAAGCCTCAGGAGATGGTCGTGGAGGGAGCATACTTGCGCGATATTGTGAAGGCGATCATCGTAGGCGTGATGCCTGCTGCCTTCCACGACTGGCATATTCGATTCAAATCTGGTGCGAAATCAGGATGGACCAATCACCAAACTGGCCTCTGACCTTCCACAGACCCACTCCTCAAGGTCACTTTCAGCTGAACAGATGCAGGGGCAAAGCGGATCCTGACATCAACACAACGACTAGTCAGAAAATTCTGATAGGAGAGTGGTCAGTTACCTTTCGACTGGTTTGTCGTCATTTACATGCATATATTCAATGTGCTTTCTGTTTTTATTTTCAAAAAATGATTGATTGATTGACTAAGGTTTTGCATACATGGTAATGTAGCCGAGTCGAATCAACCAGTTTTCTGACTTAGAATGTTACTCACGGACAACTAGTAATTATAGCTTCAAAAGCGACGTCCAACTGAAGTGAGTATTCTAGGATGCCTTGCCACCAAGGTGTACACCACCCCTGGTCCACTGTGGCCTTCAAGAACCAACAACAAAATCGCTTTTAAGGGTGCTAAAGGTCGAAAGTAATGCAAAACAACAAAAATGTTCGTCTACATTTCGCAGAGACATCAGCAGGTCCGGAACTCTAATTTGGTTTTGACAGGTAACGTGTTTAGGGACCAATGAACCATGACTTCTAACCTTCAAGGAACAGTGTTTAAAAAGACATAGATGCTGCACAAGGCAGTTATCCGATTTTAAATCACTGATGTAAAGCTTATAAGTCATGGGCAGTTGTGCTCGAGCATCACAAATGACATAAGAATGTACACGTATGTTTCCTACATCACCACATAACTAAGTGACAGTTATCAAAATGCGCAGTTTTAATCAGTGCCCTTGTGACTTATGCATCATTGATAATGCATGGTCGCTCATTAAACCGATGTCTAACTCACAAGTTCCGCGGTTTAATTTTTGAGCCCATCTGACTTTAATTATCTCACAGTCGACTAGTCAATGTTTTTTTATTTGACGGCGAGAACATTAGCGCCGTAAATTGGAGACGGTCTCGCATTCGAAGACAGACGAGTAAGGGCGACGAGCGTGTGGGGGGGATTGTTCTGTGTAGCAACTGAGCAAGTAAACAGGTTATCGTTGATTGTTGAATGGAATTGAAACAAGGTAAAGCAATTACCAATGCTGCCTTCTATTTGTTGACGATCATAGATCCCGAGAAGAGGTGGGGGGCACTGTTAAAAGGATAACACTACAGGGTCAATTCAAGCGCTCATTCAGCAACCAGAATCGTTCTGGTTGTCTGATGGGGAAACCAGCATTTTCCAAGGCAACTACCCTCAATTCACTGGACCACGTTCACTCACGCACATCTAAACAGCACATTCAGACATGAATGTGGTCACATGTCTCTAGGCTGGGGGAGTAACGACACTCTGCATGGAGTTTTGTCATTTGCCTTGTGCTGGGAAGGAGGAGATTCGTGTAATCCCACATTGAGCACGTGCCTCTGCTACCATTCATTGTAACAGAAGTGTACAATATCAGTGAACAAAAGTCTAGACGTGCGATAAAATCAAGTGATCAAGCCCAAGAGTAGTCTCGCACGCCTGGTAGGAAGCCTTTGCTTTTACCTAACCAATCAGACACGACTTCGCTTTTCTGCCTGTTCAACAGACCAGACACGTGGGCTGATGAAACCATGGTGTCCATGATAGACCCAGTGCTGACCAAATTTTGAAGGTGCCAAAAGCACAAGATTGACCTTTGGCTTGTCAACACATGTTCGAACATCTACGCATTTCTTACACTCAGACCAATGCTACGGTGTTTTCGGAAGATCCAGTCTACGTGTGAACAGTCACTTTCCTAGCGGTAACATTAATCTGCACAGAATATTTGATTATCCCGGTTGCGCTACGTAATGCAATTGCCTCTATGGAGTGATTTGTGTGTCATTAATTATGCATTCTAGGCAAATTAACACTAACCTAGTTGCATGTCTACAATTATTAGGTTATAGCCGAAAAAAACGAGCTGTTTTCTGAATAAAATCAATCCAGTCGTATTCTTAACTGTGGACGTTTAACATTGACACGTTGGAGTTGACTAGTCTGGTGTAACTATGTTCAAATACTTCAGACTCCCTTAGCTGCCTCCTTCGTAACCTACTACTGTTGTTTGTTATGACTCGTGATTTAATGATAACTGGCAATTGAGCTGGTGTCAAGTTGGGTGATCCATCGCAATCTGCCACTCCTGATTGGGTGTTTTGTGAGCTTATTTTAAACATCCACGGGCGAATTCGCAGGCAAGGGCAAAAGGTGTGAGGCGTTTTGTGTGCAAAATAAGCAAATGTGTTTTGAAACCAGGATTTAAGATGAGTACTCGGGTGGTTAGTTTGATCAAATCGCTTGAATCCCGAAACCATCTTTGTAGCAAATCAGTAACTGGACTCAGTTTCGAGTCTGAAAAACTTGATTTGGATTCCACCAATGAAAACGCCGTCTTAAGTATTGAGGAAGAAAGGTCCTTGAATGCGAGGCTTATGAGCCGGATGAAATCGAATAACGTGGACAAAGAGGACTCTCTAAATTCTGTCCAGCAGTACTAACTCCTTGCATGCCTTTCGCGATTTGTTCACTTGCAGTTAATTTTTGCAAACAAATTCCTTAAACTACAGCTAACCAAATGCTAGTTCCCTCGCACACCGCTTACTTGAAAGGATACGATATTCTTTTTACCGACATAAGCACTTCGTGTTCGTTGGGCGAGTCCACATTAACCCCTTGCTCGGAGCGTTCGCCATCAACTCAATTAGCAACTAAATGAATTAGTAGAAATTAATTTATCACGACGTGCATCTTTCAGGTAACCGAGCAAGTTACTGCGTCCAGCGGTAAATCGGCTTGAAGTGGATCTCTCTTGGGTCTGGGTTTGAATTCGCTTACCTCACTTATGCACGTCGCCTAATCCCCCAGTCGTTTCCTTTGGGATAACAACTTGTAACCAGCACTTCTAACTTACGGCTAGGGCGATAGGATCATTGACTTAACCTTGTTTATTTAACGCTTTTCCCACTCCTGATAGCGCTGAATTTAGCATTTTAGAGTATTCAGGCCAAGAGTCACTGAGGCGAGCGCTTAATTAAAAGGAGGCACATTTTGTCCAAAGAAAAAAACATTTTTGCAGAGTCATTAGCAGGAGTATTGCAGACCGGTAAAATTTCTTTTGAAAATAAAATTCCACATAGAATTTGACATAATTTTGTAAGGCGCGATTGGGTCAATCCACAATCCGCTTGTCACTCGGTTAATCACCAACGCTCATTTCCCATTGCTTCTGAAAACGGTTGACCACTGCTTACTGAGTAGTCATGAGTCGTTTCGTGCAGACAGTTTGTGTGTCCAACTGATTATGACCTTCACAACCCTACAAGTGGGCCACTGATTGGGCTTATCAGCCCCAACAGCTTGCGATATTATGATCTTTTCCATTTGCAAACAGAATCCCATTTAGCAATCAGCTTCACCCCCCCCCCTAAAGGCTTATTGGTCGATTCCTCGTGTCACAGCCAAAATAATCCCACAGAAGCATCAACAAAATAAGTGTCTTTTTTCCCAAGTCTCAGCACTTAGGCTATGAGACAGGCTTCAGCGACCCAATTTGATGGCAAGGAAGGTGAGGCCTGAAGAATCCTAATTTGGATCATAAGTGTCCGATCATGCCGTTGATGATCCTAGTCTCAGTTTGGGGCTCCTACGTAAATCGCATTACGTATAGTTCTGTCATTTTCGTCAAATATGGAGACTCGACGACTATGACCGATTTGTCATCCCATTCCAATCAGTGACTGTTTTTCTGTCCTCTTTTTTTAATTATTGATGGGATTTCGTAAATTTACTCGACTTAAGTGGAGCGATGGGAATCCTGTTTGGCTATGGCGGTCCCTTTAAAGGGATCTAACGCCCTGTGAGTTATCTCTTCAAAAAATCAACTTTAAATCCAATAAACGTAAAATGACACATTGCACGGACGGGCTGGTACTTCCGCTGGTAATGAGATAGGATATTTTGCGTGGGTATCCCATGCCATAAAAAAGTGCATTTATGCTGTAAACTAGCGACCCTGATGCACTTACTGATGTGTGTTGCTGGAACCTAAATTAAACCTGCTGATAATTATCTATCACAATACCAATACGAAACATATCCATTTAAATTTTCGGTGGTAAGTTCCGTAAAAACAAACGTTCATCAGACGTAATGAAAGCTGAAGTGAAGTGTCGGCTATTTCGTCTAAAATCGATACGGAAAGTCAAGTCCCATCACAATTGACCTGTTCCCCAAATTTGACTTAATAATATGCCTGCGCTCATATTAACTCCCTTCATTTTTTCGAAAAAGTAGCACTGCCTAATCGCATCGTTGGGATACTCCCGGACCTAGCTTTCTCATCGTGTTGGTTGGTTCGCCTCATGGTCGGGAAAAACGAACTTACTTTGTCCCGTCTCTGCATTTTATGACTTGCCAAACGCAACACCCACTAAAACAAATTCGCATTTGCACTCTACAACAATCGTTGTTTTGTCAGTAGTTTATCTTCTTAGCTTAAGAAAAATAGACATACTGTTTGCAGACAAGGGTTAAAACACGGATGCCGGTGATTTAATACCTCAGGAAGGGAAGGGGTTCGCTTACTACATACACATATGTACAGGCCGAGAGAAAACTTGGGGTCACACAAGCGCGTAAGGGGGTACACAGAGTGGCACTGCGCCATCTTTCACACGCTCATTAAGCTTTTGCGCTTTCCAGGCGCCTCAAAGGTAAACGTGTGCTAACAGGAGCACTGAGTGTGGCCTCCGAGTCAGCGTGTGTGTGGTAGAGGGGCGGGCTGAGTCATTGTCAGACCTGACTGCAAATCCGATCGCCAGAACTCGTTGTGCTGTGACCGCTCTCCTGCACAGCTATCGGCGCCACCTTGAGCAGGTTGTTATCCACCTCGCCAATCGATAGCGGCGGCACCGACTGCGGCCGGATTTCGTTGTCCACCGCTGTCTCACTGGAGATGGTTCTGGGACTGCGTGTGATCCGGGTAGGTGGAGCGGTCTCCGCAACATCGACAACCACCTCCTGCTTTCCGTTGGTCTCCGCGTCCCACAGCTTCGATCTCCTTATAGAGGCGTACTTGAGCGAAGGTGGCGTCAGCAGGAAGGGACCACGAAGTAGAAATGGCTCGTTTTCCGAGGTCGCGGCTTTCTGGTTGGATGCAGCCGGCGCGTACAGCACATTCGTCATGACCTGACTAGCACTGCTTTCCGGTGGAGGCGGTACACGGAGGGGTTGTTTAAAGCCGTTAGTCACTGAGGGTAGAAGTGTTGGCTCTTGGGCTGGGACACCGGGATTTTGCAACTGAAGCGGTGAGAAATACACATAGGTGGAATTTGGGCATGAAAGCTCAAAGGGCGCTTCATCGTTGAACTCCTGCATTTGTGGGAACTTGATCGGCCCCGGCACTGCAGGCTCTGACAAGTACGTGTTGCGGAAACTTGACTCTTGGTTGGAGAGCTGGGATTGCTGCATTGCAGGGGAATATTTAACGTGGAATGTCCACTTCTGCTTCATAGCAAACCCAAACCACATCATTAGCCAAGCCATGTGGACGCAGACAAACAAGACGATGGTCGTGAGACAAAGGTAGTCCTTTTCACTCCAGTACAGTTGGAACATATCGTAGAGGCAGGGCATCCGCACGAGCGTAGTGGCGACCAATGAGAGAAAGCCCAGGACAATTAGTGGACGACCGCGCAAGGGTGAACGATGACATTTCGTAGATCCCTCCTTCCTCTCCAGAGAGTTCGTCTCGCTCCATGGTGGCGACGTGACCAGGGCCTCTGACGCACCGTTAGTTTGCCTCTCTGCCATGCCCAGCATGTTGGCGACCGTGTAGTAGTTCTCCCGAAGTACCTTGTTAAACTGACGGATCGCCAGGTGGAAGAGAACACCAAAACTCCCGAGGGTTATGAAGAAAGCGATGGAGGTGGAGAGGATTGTCTGCCACGGGGTCAGTTGCATCGGCAGCCGGACTATGATTAATGAGCTAAAGATGTTGGTCGAGTTAAAATGAGGTGTGAGGCATACAGTCAGTTGGACTAAGAGGCTAACAGCAGCATACTCGAAGGTTAAGTAAACGCCAGTGAAAATAAGTAGCACGGACGAGAGGTAGGAGAATGTGGGCCAGACTGTCCAGAAGGTGGCAGCAATGCGGATAGCGAGAAACGCTAGCGCTAGAAAAAAATTGACAATTTCGAATGACGGCGGACGTAGTCGGATGCCAGCAGTGGCGGCGTCGTTGAAAGTTGTCTTCACTCCACTGGAGTGTTGGATGATGGCCGTTTTGAGGTTGGCGACTGCGCCTTCCTGCTGCTTCGTTTGCGGCAGCTGACCGATTCCGCCGAGGGTGGGTGGCTGCACGGCGAGGAGGGTGGAGCCCGTGAGACGTGTCGAAAGCAGTCCAGAAGACGCAAGCTTCGTGGCCAAGTCCGGATGACGCACGAGGGTGTTCTGCATCACGTCCTTCGGAGACAGGATCGGGAATATGAAGCTGAGGTCGGTTTGCCATGCCAAGTCTAAGAAGAATAAGACAGTGAATCAATAATTTCCAAAGTCGATTGCTTGCACGACTACCACTTACTTAAAATCCCTACAAATATCAGTTTACGAGGTAGTCAAATCCACGTGAAGCCATAGTCGTGTTTGGTTGCAACCACAGTGATTCGCCAAAAACGCGAATGCATTTACTCTGGAGTGAATTAGGCGATTTCAAGTCCATCATCTCTGTGGACGTATGCTCTGCCACTCCAACAATCGGTACGTCTGTACCGCCTCCGCATGAGCTCGTGGTTCACGACCCCGTAAACACACTCAACGACACAGTTTACCTGAGACCTCAATTTGACGTCCTTGGTTTGGTAAGTCGCCTCGAATACTCCCGTCGGGGCTTCTAAAAACTGTGATTATCTGGCTGGCTCGGAACCCCAACAGCCAATCAAATTGGGATTTATTCGCCTCAAAAAGCTGGAGAGTCCACAAACCACGCGTTGGCAATTGCAGGCTGGGAAATTCCTCATTTAAGTGCTGCGCTCGCACCACAATAATTCATAATGAGCAAATGCTCTACGCATTTCCACCACCGATCTCTAGGGCAAAGCATGGGTGAATGTGGGTGAAAATGCTGCGACTAGACGTAAGACCCAAGTTGTTGTGTCTCGGGCATTAATTTATTGCCTCTAGCATGGTGCGGAGGAAGTTTTTTCACCGTGCGCTTCTTATGTCAAAGCCGGTGCCTGTTCACTTTGCACGTCAGCACCCAACCTTATTTCAGCTGAGGCAACTGTGGCTTCGCATTTTCAAAAGACTGCCTCAGCACATCAGCAATTTTTAAACTTTTACCGCGTTGGTTGTTTTTGGTGTGTCTGCTGCCATGGATGCGTGAGTTGGATGCTTGTGTCTGTACTTGGGAAGGTGGCTGTCAAAACACTTGTATCATTTACTCTCTTACCGAAATTTCTGTGGTGCTTTTAAATTGTCCTTTGTCCTGACGTAGGCCAGGCACTCTTTAAACAAATTCGGTGTTGTCAAAGTCAACGAAACATTTACACGCAAGCTATTCCTTTGATTTTGTGAATAGCAAATGAGGAGATACTTGTCAACTAGGTAGAGTTAATTATTTGCTTTATTCTACTAAAATTGCGTCTGCAAAAGTAGCCTACTTAGAAGGTATGCCGTGGAGCATTCGTCAGTGAATTATATGATTGTATCCGCAACTAGAGTACACGTTTAGTGTGGCAGTGTTCTGGTAAAATTGCCACACAAATTACAGTCATGTAAAACTGCATCAAGAGCAGTGTTTTTTACATTTAAAGCGATTGGCATTACTAAAATAGGCCCATTTTATTTGGACTTTAGCCGAACAGGCACCCTTTCAAACCAATCAAACCAAGAAAAGTGCGTAGAATAATCGGATCCACTTGTCAATGGTTTTGAAATGTGAGCATTACTTAAGTGAATGACCACGTGAATGCGATTGCATGGCGTTAATTCGGTTTGATGCCAAAGTAAAACCATCAGATTTCCCTTTTGTCCGCTCTCGAGAGAGGCGCTTTTTGATGAATGTTAATGCGCATCTAGGTTGGCAGGGGTGATTTCAATTGAATGAAACTTCATTATCGGAGCCTTTGAATTTGCGCCGTACATTAGCTGCTCGTCTTTCTGCTCAGAACAGAGGCTGTGCGACGATTTTGGCGGCAGTTAATGGCGCAATGATTGGTCGAAAGTCCAGCGCACCGAGGTCGCTCTCAGTTTGACCCATCAAGTCGTGAAAGCGATTGACAAGTGGAATCCTGGCTTACTCATATTAAGGAACCCCCACGCCAGATTTGGCCAACCGATTTGACAGGAGTCCTGCTTGTTTTCGTTAGTGTGACGTGTTACTAGTTAGTGCGTCTTATTTTTGTATTAACAAGCAAACCGCCAAATACGCGATCAGGAAAGAAGACGACGATGACCCCCTTGCATCTTTATTACCGACGGTTGAGTGGGACAATATGAAACGTTGCCTACACCCTGACGGAAAGTCACCACGTGTGAAGTTAACGTTCGTTCATACTTGGTTAGGACTTTCGCAAGACGTCAACGTATTTTCTGCATTTCGTTTAATAAATTGAGAAGAGGATTCACAGTGCATTTTGTCAAATACTTGCACAGCGAATCCGTCAAATTAACCAGTTTTCTACCACGACAAATGACCCATGACATTTGGGCAAATTTGTACAAATCAGTTAGGCCCGTCTTCAGTCGAAACCGTGAACCTCTTTTAATCTGTTGGTTTATCAAACCGACTAAGCAAAAGCCTCTAAATAAGACTTTAAGACCTGAAACTGCTATGTCTGTAATGCAAGACTGTCCGGTTAATGAGGTGAGGTAACTAAGATTTCTAGCAAAACCGAATTTTTGTAAAACAAGTCATGCCCACTTTGGACATGGCAGTGAAACATTTGCCATTCTGAAACAATTAGAACAAAGTCCCTAACGCAAAACCACGCCAAATACCACTTCAAAGAAGCAGGCAGCAGTGGCTCAAAAATGCAAATCGTTGGGGTTTTTCTGTTGAGCAAAACGTTTGCGTGATTTGGGTGAAACAGCCTGAAATTTGCACAATCACAGAGTCAAATTTAACGAGTGATACGTAACTAGGATTTATTGCCATTTGTGTTTGTGTTAACCACGTGAAACTGTCTTCAGCCGCATTTGATGAGGTCGCAACATGCGCTCTGCGATTAGGTTTGTCAGTACCAATCAATTTAACTGACTTTGCCAACTAAATAATGAATGATATCCGAATAAATCGCAGCACATTCCGACACATTTGCACACACACAGTCACCGTGACAGCAACGGCTCAAAAACTGATCCTGTACAACATCATCGTTGGACCATCTTGTGCTAGTGGTACAAGGAAAACACGAGGTGAAGCAAGGCTACAAAAATGTTCACTCAGTTGAGACTTCACTCATGCTCATTCTGGGAGAGAGATATTCAACGTTTCTACTATTGTGTGGTCTCAATCCTTCCAAAGCTACACAACAGGCGGAGCTAAGCTGGTCTACCAAGTTCAGTTTACCAAATCCAGGGAATTCCAGTTGCGAGAACATATCCCTCAAATGGACCAACAAATGGTGCACTATTGGATTGAATGCGCATTCCTACTTAACAGTGCGTTGCAACAAATCGACACGTACAAACTGATGTAGTGCAGAAAGCGTAACTGAGTAATTCAGCTGTCAATCGACGAACCCAATGACAAGTACCCGATCGCAGCGCTAGTACATCTAACACAACGTAAACTGATTAAAATTAAGGATTTTGTTGCATATTTACACTCAAGCTTACACCGCTGACTTCTACAAGTGACTAATTTACATTTGGAAGCATTTGCAACTCACAAATAGCTCGACCAGGATCTATTTTTGATGCAGCCTATCCTCTACTTACAAGGCAACCCTATACAATCAAATCTCACGTGAAATCCATGTTACCTAAGCATGTCCGTCACATCGTGAGTTGGGCTCACTCTTGCTTTAAAGAAAGGATTTCACAGTACCTACACATGTCCCGTTTTCGATAGTTAATGGATACTGTTCAGTATTAAATTCTCACAAAGTGCCTAAGACAGAGCGTCTGTTTAGGTACTTTAATTTAATTTACTCTAATTTTTAATGATTAACTCTTCCTGGTTTTAGCCTAATGTACTTTTAAACAGCACATGTCAAATTGATTCATGCCCTTGTTGCCAACATGCACACACCGATGTCGTGTACGTCAAAACGACTAAAGTGGCCTTGAATGCATTCTTTTTAAAAATAACATGGATACCCACACCAGACGTCGGTTACAAAAGTTGAAGTGGCGTTCGTGTAATGCGTCTCAAACGGAGATTCATGTATGCAAGGCTAATGTGCGTTGTTGACGCACACGGTAACGGCGTATTGCATTAGAAAAAGTCAGAGTGATAATAAGTCCCATGTTTCCTCTCTACATTTTTGGACGAACAGCAACATATTTTGTGTGTCTACAAGGGATCAAGTCAACAAGGACGTATTCAAAATCAATGATAATTTCTATTGGCTTCGATTAAGGTACCCCAAACAGTTTCCTACGTCACACAGGACAGTTAATCGAGGGAAATCAACACAAAGCATGTGATTCACTTAGCATGTTTCACACCTGGGTTTCGAAGTGAATAGCAGCAATTAAAGTAAGCGGACCCGCCAATCTAGACCGATTGTTTGCTGGAGTGATATCAAGGACACCGATTTTATTCTGCTGTAGCCCGACAAAGTAATTCATGATTTCACTCACACTAAAACCGAATGTGCAGTGGCAAATTATCACTCCATTTACTCAAATCTTCTTTTTCTGAACCACAGCACAAGTCACAGAAATCGACCCACTGACTCTCTGGACAGGCAGTTTCGCATGTTGACCAGGCTGTTCGAACGTCGCGTCCCATTCCAACAGGCTACGACGAGCTTGCTCAGAAAGTTGACATTTTTTTGAATAAAATTTACTAGTAGCGGCCATTATTACAGAATCAGTCGTAAGGACGATCTTATCCACACAAATTTATATGGCTTAAATAATTGCGCACTTAAAGCCACACGACTGGCCAGTTGTAATGTTTGGTAATGCATAAACGCCGGCGGTAAAAAGCCGCATGTATAGCAATTCAGTCCGAGCTAAAAATTAAATTCTGAGCGAATCCAGACAAACTGCGTTTGTATTATAACAATGAACATTATTAAACAACGTAATGTGGTGGTTAGCTCGAAGTTGCTAGCATCTCCCCAAAACACCCAATGCCACTGGAATCGAAATTATTTGATCATTAATTACGAAACCATGGTGCTAGAACTAGGATATTTTAACTTGGCAAACAATTCATTTTAGGCCAATAAATTCTAGGCCATTCTATATAATGTGTTTTTTTACAATCCTACTAGATATCAAGT